AACTGAATGCAGTATTCCAAGTGTAGCCTTACCAAGGCATTATGAAGTGGTATTAACACTTCACGTGATCTTGATTCTATCCCTCTGTTTATGCAGCCTAGAGGTGTTTCAAGGAATGGGAAACTTATAAATAGAAAATGAAAACTGGAATGGTCCTCCCTTGTTTCTTGCCCTGCCAAATGGTATAACTCAGCTTCTCAACATGCGGATTCTATTTCAGTTTTGTCTGACGTTGTAATAGTTAATAGAGTTGTCCTCAGTGGATTTGTAAAAATGTATGTTGCAATCTTTGGAGAAGCCAAATGCAGGTAGTCCTTGACATGACTGGTTGCTTAGTTACCTTAGTTAAAGGACCCTTTAAAAAGGTACTTATGACCCCAGATTTGAAGTTCCAATAGCTGGGCTCCCCCTTCCCCCCACAGTCACATCAGTGGTGGGTTCCTATCAGTTTGGCCTAGGTCGGCCAAACTGGTAGTGGTATGGCAGCCTGGGTTGCTGGAATCACCAGCAACCCAGGCCTGCCATGATCTCGAACCAGTTCCCCGGTCTCTTCTGCCATCACCGGCATGTTTCTGCGCATGCGCAAAACAATTTTCAGTGAAATGCGCATGTGCAGCAACATGTGGCGGATGAGTGAAGTGAGCTGCTTTAGAAATCTACTCAGACCATGTCTGAAGCTTGCTAAGAAACAGTTATAAAATAAGATTTAATAGGATAAGTGAAAGTAAAATGTGAATCAATGACTGGAGTCATATATCAAACCATCTTATCTGTAAACCCCAAGGAAGGACAAAATAACAAGCCATATAAAATTAAACCATGTAAATTACCGTAAACAGCAGTTTTTCAGTTGTTTAAAGGGGATTAAGCGAATAAGCTACTGTAGGGCCATAGTTGACACTAAGAGGTAAGCCACACTGTGAGAATACCATGGCTGGATTCACACAATAGCTTAAAAACAAAATGACACCATGGTTTGTCTGAACCAAATTTATATTAGGATAACCTGCAAACCATTTTCTTGCTTTAGTTTAGATATAGGCAGAGTTCTGTTGTCTTATTAAGCTAAAACCAGACTGACTATATTATGGCTCAGTACTATGAACAAACCAGTGGTGGGTTTCAAATTTTTTAGAACCTCTTCTGTAGGTGTGGCCTGCTTTGTGGGAGTGGCTTGTGACTGGGTGGAAGTGGCTTGCTGGCCATGTGACCAGGTGGGAGTGGCTTGCNCCCTAGTTTGGTTCAGGCTTGAGGCCTACTCTGGTTCAGCCTGCTCTCTCAACACAGTCAGCCAGTTGTTTACACTCAATTTTGTTATTTTTATTCACCTATTGCAGGGGTATCAAACTCATGGCCCTCAGGCTCGATGCGTCACATGCTGGCCACACCCACCCCTGGTTTAGGGAAGGGGGGGAAAGTTGCGATACGTCATGCGACGACGATGTGACGATATGAGTTTGGCACCCTTGACCTATTGAGTCCTTCCCAAGAATCTGGGATAAGGAGATATTATTGTCAGATGGTGTTAAAGGTATCCTCGCAGGATATAAACTGTTGCAGGTAAAGCTGCTTTTTGCAATTGACTAATGGTGATTTTGTCAATGCCAATGGTATTCAAGTGGTGCTGCAATTTTGGAATTGCACCTATTACTATTGATACTATCTTTGCTTTCTTTTCCCCAGTCATTCTGTTTCTCTTTGTAGGTCTTTGTATTTTGCAATCTTCTCCAGTTCTTTCACTTCTGTTCTGCTTCCTTTAAGTACTTCCATACCCACTATCCAGACTTATCCACAGTTGTTAAGTCTGGGGCGTTTTGTGGCAGATGCCTGTCTGTTTGAATTCTAAAGCCCTAGAGCACTTCAGCTTCTTTATTTTCTATTACAGGTAGTCCTCGACTTACAACAGTTCATTTAGTGTCTGTTCAAAGTTACAACGGCACTGAAAAATGTGACTTATGACTGTTTTTCACACTTACAACATTTGCAGCATCCCCTTGGTCACGTGATCAAAATTCAGCCACTTGGCAACCGGTTCATATTTATGACGGTTGCAGTGTTCCATGGCCATGGGGTCAGCTCTTGTGACCTTCTGACAAGCAAAGTCAACAGGGAAGCCAGATTCACTTAACATTATTAACTTAACAGCTACAATGATTCACTTAACAACAGTGGCAAGAAAGGTGGTAAAATGGGGCAAAACTCACTTAACAAATGTTTCACTTAGTAACCTAAATTTTGGGCTCAATTGTGGTCGTAAGTTGAGAACTACCTGTACTTTCTTCATTTTATGATCCCATCAGGCAAATGCTGTTTCTTGCAGATCTTACAATACACCATTTTTGCTCGTTTGTCATGCCGTTGCTTTTAGTCAGCCTGTGTGATCCTCTTGAAATCAACTGACTACTGTTTCCTCAGCTTATTTACAGAGGCACATTTGCTGTCTGTTGTTGTCGTCTCAATTCTGGCTTTGTAGCATTTAGTTTTAAGGTTTGGTATTGTGCAGACAGAATTTCTGTCCACAACTTGGTTTCTTTCTTCTACTTTTTAATATTATTATTGTTACAATACAATACAATACAATAGCAGAGTTGGAAGGGACCTCGGAGGTCTTCTAGTCCAACCCCCTGCCTAGGCAGGAAACCCTATGCTGTTTCAGACAAATGGCTATCCAACATCTTCTTAAAGACTTCCAGTGTT